CCTCTCTTGGCATACCGAGGCGCGATCTCTCTTAGTGTCCATGGCTTCATCTTCAGACTTGACCGCGCCTCTGTCTGGGGTCTGTTTGACAGTCCCCACAGCCTCCTCGGTTTGCACCGCAGGGCTTGGCTAACAGGGGAAACACCAGCGTCAGGGGCTGCAGAGCAGGACCAGTGGGAATGGGGAAACAGGAGAGGGAAGGATGGGACAGGGAACACACAGGTGGGAATAAAGGGGAGCTGGCCGAGTGTTCCTGCTGAGCACTGTCGAGGAGACAGCTCAAAGCACCACTCACCGACATCGAAGCTGCCACTCTCTGCTGTTGCTGCTGATCGATCTTGAAAAGCTGCACCTTAGCTCGCTTAAGAAGGCTAAACATTTTTTCCTCCACCCCGGACAGTGGCAGCGGCCCGAGACTTGCCACACGGGCCTTTTCCAGCGGCGGTGTGTGCTGCGGTGACGGGGGTGGCTGCAGCTGTGCCTGTGGCTGTACCTGGGGCTGCTGCGGTGGTTGTGCCTGGGGTAGGAGCTGCGTCTGCAAGACCTGTGGGGGCTGGGGCTGAGCCTGAACAGGCTGCTGCCCGTTGCTCAGAGCTGGAGCCCCACTGGGGGGCACCTCAACCTTAACAGGACTGGTGACCGCAGGGACGAAGCGAGGCAAGCTGAGGTGGTTGGTCCGCCCCACTGCCCTGGGCTCAGGCTCAGCTGCAGAGTCGTCAGTTGCAGGAGGCAGCTCTGGCTCAGGTGTTTCAAGAGCCCCGAGAGGAGGAGGAGGAGTAAGCACCGATTCATAGATCTTCAGGTGGGCTTCACTTGGGGTAAACTGAGGGGCCCGAAGGAGTAGGGGCCTCCGGGAAGGGGTGGCAGGGGTAGGTGGTGGAGACGGGGCTGGTGGAGACGGGGCTGGTGGAGGAGCAGGGGGAGGCGGTGGCAGCTCCCGGGTTAGTGAAGTCCAGCGGAACGTGGGCTCCCTTAGGATAGACCGTCTCTTCTCAGGGAGTGGGGCTGGGGCTGACGGGGGAGTTGGGACACGAGGTGGCGAGGGCACCGGTACTGGCTCCTGGGGAGCAGGTGGGGAGGTGGCGACAGGAGGCCGAGCATTAGAGGCCTCCACCTTTGGAGGCTTGGGAGGGTCTTCGTCCATAAATCGCCGGGGTGTCTTGATAACGCGGGAGGAACGGGCACTCACCACAGGCATAATAAACTGCCGGATATTCTTCAAGAAGGTGGTACTTTTGGGGGCCACAGGAGGGCTGTCTTCCAGAGGGCTTCCTGTGGTGGCGCTGGGGCTTGGAGAGGGAGAGAAGGAGCCCTCTGGTCCTGAGCGAGCAGCTTCCCGCTCTGCCCGCTGGCTAGGAGTCAGGGGAGGCCGGCCCCTCTTCCTAGAGCAAGTAGCTGGGACCACAAGAGGAGGGGACTCTTCTTGCTTCTCGGAGGCTGGGTGTGGAGGAGGGGACGCTGGGGGAGGAGGAGAAACTGGGGGTGGCAGAGGGGACGCTGGAGGTGGAGACACTGAAGGGGGCGGGAGAGGAGGTGGTGGAGAAGGGGCCGGAGGAGTCGAGGGCGGCGAGGGCGGCGATGGCGGCCTGGCCTCTCCCTTCTCCTTGACCAGCGGCGCCTCTTCCTCGGGCACAGCCGCCTCAGTCCCCTCCTCTCCCTGCTCTTTGTCCTCGACGCTGTCTCCTTTCTCTTCCTTCTCCTCTCTCTCCTCCTCCAGTTTCTGCTCTGGCTCCTTCCAACCAGGGCCCCCTTCCTGTCCATCTTCGTCTCTTCTTTGGGGGGCATCCTGCCAGCTTTCTCCATGTTGACCATGACCCTGACCTGATTCCAGTCCCGGGGACAATTGTCCCATCTTCACTTTCTTGGCCTTGGAAACAAACTTGATCATGAGGGGCAGTCCGCCTCGGCCTCTGCCCCTGCCCCCACGGCCTCCTCTCCCAGGCTGTCCTCCACGCTTAGGGGTCCCGGGTCCTGGTCCAGGTCCCTCCTTGCACTTCCAGCTTCCAGTTCTGCTCTTCACTGGAGCCACAGGAGGCGGAGGCTCGGGGTTCGGGATTGTCACAGCCGCTTCTGCTACCACCACTGCCTGCTGCTTTTTCCGGCAGGGGCCCGCTGGCCGTCCTGGGGGCCGTCCCCGAGACCGACGGGGAGCGGAGGGTTCACATGCCCGGCTCCGGGGGGCTTGGGGTGCCTGGGCCCGCCGGAGAAGTTCAGTCAGTGCCTGCACCATCCGTTCTGTGCCCTCCTCGCCCCGTTTCCGAGAAGAGGCCTTTGGGGGGGCAGGAGCCACATCTGCTAGTCGAGGAGGAGGAGGAGGAGGGGTCGTCTTATGCTTTCGGCCCCGACCCCGGGGGGCTCGACCTAAAAGGAGAACAGGTGTGGGGAGTTGGGTCAAGCTGGCCCTGAGGACTTAATACAAGCACCCCAGAGGGGCAAGGTACTAAGTCTTAGTTGTCTGTTTCCCCCAAAGCCCAGGCTAGCTTGGACACTCAGTAACAGCGGGAACTAGGAGAACACCAAAGATCTGACACAAAGGGCGAGAACATTCCCACAAAACCAGAGAGGTAGAGTTTCCCCATCACTCACCTCGCTGGGATCGGAGCGCAGAGCGCAGGGAACTGGGGGCCACATCTTCATCTGAGTGAAAACCCTGAAACTCCTGATTTAGGGGCGGGGGGGGAGAAACAGCAGTCAGTGCGGGTGCCCTGGGCCCACCCGGCTTCAGGTGTTGAGGATGTAATACTTAGCTACTCCCGCTCGTTCACCAAAGACCTGACGCCAGGTCAGAGGGAAGGAAGGTGCAATGCATACTCCAACCAAACCATACCAGCGCGGCCACCAGTGCTCCACTGGCCCAGGAGAAAACACTAGAGGGTCCCCTCAAGTTAAGCAGTAGGCATCACAACCAGGGCTAATTCCAACTACACAGAGTGGGTCCTTCATGTACGCCCTTTCGGGACATTCCTAAGTGGGAATGGGGAACGTTGGGGGGAGGGGGCTGAAGGGTGGAGCAGATGCTTTATCGTATTAGAATGCACTCTGAGCCCTCAGAGGACGCCTGGCTCTCCCAAGCAATATAATGCACACAGTCCTTTTCCAAAAGGCTGAGAGCGATAATCACGAGCCGCACTCGCTCCAGACCCGAGACTCGGCATTCACTCTATCCCTCTTCAACCTGTGCCCGAAGCAGCCGCCACCACTCAATCTTAGAGCTAAAGGGCCACTGGTGAGAGCAGGGATGCGTCGCGGATCGGAAGGCCCAAGGAGGCAGCCTGCAGGTAAGAGCCCATGAGGCTCCAGCCTTGGTCCATCAAGGCCACGCTGCTGCTGTCAACCACCACTGGCGTGGCACGCGATCCCCGTGGCCTCTTCACCCACTCCTGTCCTGCTCTGCCACTGCTACCGCGCAAGATCAGCTCAGGACACCGGCGGGGCTTGCGCGGAGCCCAGGCGTCTGGCTGCAATCGCATTTTCCCTGCCCACTTTCAAAGGCCCTGGCCGCTCGAAAGCTCCACGCAGCCCGCTTCCTCCCCATGCTTGTTTCCGAGAGCCCCGAGAACCGCACTTGTCCACAACACCCTCCGGAGCTACCCGGGGCATCCGGAGCCCTGCAAGCCCCTGGCCTCCGCCCCACCCGGCGCAAGAGACGCCTCCGACCGCCTCACCTCCTCCTCGGACTCCCCGTCACTGCTCTCCTCCTCCGGCATGCAGCCTCGGTTCGGGCCCCGGCCCCGGCCGCGGCCCCGACCTCGCTGAACGCGCGGACCAGCCCACAGACGGCGGAGCCGGCGCAGGCCCCGGCGGAGCCCCAGCAAACGGAGCAGGGCCGTGTCCTCCCCGGGCTCGGCTCCTCCCGGCCCCGCCGCGCCGCCGCCGCGCCGCAGGGTTACCCGCACTCTTTCGGCTCCGCTGCCTCGGCCGCCGCGGCCCCCGCCCCCGCCGGAAGCCCGCGGCCGGCCCGGGAAGCGGCCCCGTGCGGAGCCAGGCCCGGGGCAACTGCCGCCGCCCGCCGCCGCCGCCATCTTGGCACCGTGAGAGGGGCCGGGGAGGCGGGGGGAGGGGCGGCCCGTGTGCAGGCCCGGGGGGAGGGGAAGGGGGAGGGGCGAAGCGGGGCGGCTGCGGCTCACGACAACAACCAGCGCCGCTGCGGGGCGGAGAGGAGCCGGGGGCTGGGCTGGCCACGCGCGGGGCACCACGGGAGCAGGAGTCCGGGCCGGTCGGCCGTCACCCTCAGGCCACACCTGGAAAGCGGACCCCGCGTCGCGGCCTGAGAGCGGGAGGCGCAAGGACCTCTGGGAGATGTAGTCCAGACGGCCTTGCTCCTTCCGCCGACTGCTAGGGCGCGAGAACGGGGACTGCGGGGTCAGCGACGGAGATCAGGAGAGCCAGTTCCTGGTCTCGAGGAGGTGTGGTCCCGGTTCAGACTCCTCCCATTGTTCTAGTCGGAACCAGCGGCCTGCACGAACTACCATTCCCAGGGTACCGCGGGCTCCGGACCCTGGGAACCCGACCGACACCGGCAAACGAACTTAGCTACTGCGCTAGGCGTGGGCTGCGGGAAGGGCGGTGGCGTTGGGTTAGTCTCACTTCCAGGCGCAATCCGGCAGCCGCGTTGCCCGGCGCGGAGGGGAGATGCTGGTCCCCCGTGTCTTGCTCTTCGGGAGAGCAGACTGGTGGTCGAAACCACGACCTGAGCCTGCGCTCCTGCCCAGCCCTGGAGTAGGCGCGCGTGGATAGCTGTGTTAGGGACCAGAGCCTTGGAGGCCTCACAGCCACCGTCCCCGTCCCCAGGGTCGGCTAGTGCCTTTGCGGCGTGCTGCCCTCGGGAATTACACGGAGTCCCCGGAAACGAAATGTCTGACCCTCTGTTTGGCGGGTGAATGCCCAGCAGGGGCCGCTACAGGACAAGGGGCAAGGGTTGGGCCCCCCCCCAACACACGCGCGCGCACATCCATCCCCCCCCCCCCACCCCCGCGCAGACGAACAGTCTGGACTCATCCTGACTGGAGAACACAGCAAACTCTTTATTATGGTGATGAAATTGATAGTGCCCGGTTAATCTTCACTCCAGCCAACTTAAAATGTCTTTAACTCGGACTCGCCAGCCTAGACTTCTGCGATCCTCGCTCATCACGAGAGGGTTCGTGGTTCCGTCCCGCAGCACTTCGGCAGCCCTAAATACAGGGCGCGCTGAGCCCGCATGCCTTTCATTCTTTGGTTGGACGCTTGTCAAAGCCAGAGAAGCTACCAACACCCGGTCAGGTGGCAGAGGAGGAGGTAGGGCTCCCGGGAGAGATGGAGGCCCGCGTTGGCCTCGAGGAAGAGTAGAGGAATGTGGAGCGGATGGTCCATCCCGGCGGCAGCTGGCTGGGCGAATGGCCACGCATGTGAGCCTGCATGGAAGCCAGGCTGGAGCAGCCAGCCCTGCACAGCGGGCAGCGGTAGGGAGCAGCCCCGTGTGTCCTCAGGTGCTTGGTCATGGCAGAGAAGTCCCGGGAACGCTGAGGACAGAGGCTACAGGAGAAGGGCTTCTCTCCTGCAAGTGGAGGAGAAAGCCAGAGAAGGAAGAAATGGGAGGACGTTGGCCAAGCTAAGGGCGCCTCGAGCAATGGGGCAGGGAAGGAACTGGCAGATGAGCGACGGGAACAAAAACGACAAATTCACACTGGGCAGTATGCCCATACCTGTGTGGACTCGGTAATGCGTCTCCATCTGATGCTTGAGTGAAAACCTCTTTCCACAGACAGAGCAAGAATAGGGCCGAGAGCGAGCAGGAAGGGGTAAAGGAGAGTGTTCGTGAGATTGGCAGCTCAGTGTGCCGTCTTGACCCACACAGGTCGCCAGTGAGCCTGTGTGCAGAGAAGTCAAAATGGCATGACCAGAATCCCTGAATTGAATCAATACATCCAGGCAAGATATTGAGCGCTTTGGAGACCCCGAAGTAGCGGCTCTCTTACCCTGCTTTCTGTGTACCCAGACTTTTATCTCCCAAGGGCTGAGTTACTCGTTCAGGGCCCAGGGGAAAGGATCCTGCAAGTCGGGTGAAGGCCTGACTCCTGGAGCCCAGGGGCTGTGCGGAAGCCGTGGATGGAACGATGAGGGGCTTACCTGGAGTGGGGCTGGAGGAGGCCAGCTGGTTCTGACTCCCGAGACCTTTGAAGTGGCTCAAGGTCAGTGGGATCCTGGGTGGAGAAGAATTACAGCCTTGGCGAAGCCTGAGGACCTAACCAGCTCTGGCCTCTCTCAAGATCAGAATATTTTGTTGTCTCCTTAACCTGGCAAGCGTGTGGCGATGTGGCACCCTCCCGCCCCTTACTGCTGCCTCTCCTGAGCTAAGCCCACCCAGCCTGATACCTTCCACTACGCCCTCCACTCACCTCTGGTCTCGAGGCCAGACCTGCCAGGCTGCAGTGACGGGGTGGCTAAGGGAGAAGGGAGTGCCCCATCTGGGTGGCCACAGGAAGATGCTCAATAGGCCAGGTTGGCCCTCTCCCAACCAAGGGGCCTCAGCCCACCCGGGCCTGGGAATGAGGCTGGTTAGGGGGGAACCTGGTGGGGAGAGGGGACCAGGGCACCCACGAAGACACTCCTCAGAGCCCTCGTGGCTCTTTATACCTTGTATGGCTTCTCCTTGTTTCCTTTCTGCTGCCCTGTGGCCCACGGGGGCTGGCCTGAGGGCCTCCTCTGATCTCATCTTCCTAGTCACCCCTGCTCTCTCAGGGCTCTCTCCGGGTGCTCTGGGCTCCTCTAACATCTCCTGCTCTCTCCCATTACTCCTAAGACCCTTCTCTGGCTTCTGTTTCTCTCCAGGATCCCCCAGTCTTCTCTCAGAACTCCTCATGAGTTCTTCTGACACCTGGTGTCTCTTCAGTCCTCCGTCATCATCGTCTTCATTCTTGTCCTTTTGAGCTCGTTTGCAGGCCTCTTCCAGGGCCTGCACCCCCAAGGCTCTGGCTGCCTCTTCAAGCCTCCCCAGCTCCCCAGGCTGAAGCTCTATACTCTCTCCATACACAAAGGTCAGAAGCTGGGCAAAGGTTGAAGGCCTGATGTCTTCAACCAGGGCCCACCTGCCCCTGCAAGCCAGCCTTGGGCTCGCACCCGCCAGCACCAGGCTGTGAGCAGGGAACTCCAGGCCCCCTACAGTGATCAGGGTGTCACACAGTGCTGGCCGAAGCCTAGCAGCTAACTGCACCAGCCTATCAGAGCCATAAGGGCTGATTAGTCTTGTGGGGGTCTGGGGCATTGCTCTCGACTAATCTACCGGTTTCAGAGGCTGGGAAAGAAAAGCCACAATGGGGGGTCCATGGCAGAAAGGGGAGGGAGAAACCGCATATTCTCAGGCCTGTGGAGGGGAAGGGAGAAAGAGGAGTGAGTCTCCCGTCTCAGATTGGAGCTGTCTGTCCTGAATGAGTCAAGTAAACTAAGTCAAAGGCAAGCTGTGAGGATGTGGCGGTAGGAATCCACACTGGGTCACTTGGGGTCTAAGGAGTAAGAGCCAGGCAGTTAGCAGAGGTATCAAGTGGTGGGCTTTAGGACCAGTACAGTTAGCAAACTCGGGCTTAAAGATGCTGCTTCCCCAGGCTCTTTTGCAGGGAAAACCCACTGAGTAGTTGGGCTTTTCCTCCACTCACACAAAACCTGGCATTTTTGAATGGAGTAAGATGTAACTTCATGAAAGAGCTCAAAAAGCTTGTGGGTCTTCCCACAATGTGAGCCTAGAAAGCCGGACAGGTTACACAGGCAGCCAGACAGGGAGAGTAGGTGCTAGGCATCACTCTGAGACGGAAGCTTCTAGAACACAGAGAAGGAATGAGGAAGACTAGAGGTACCCATGCAGTGAGTGAGTTGAGAGCCACACCAGAGATTCAGAGAGGGCTCTGACGCCTTGGGAGGAGAGGAAGGAAAGGGAAACGAGAACAGGAAGCTGTTTCCTCTCAAAATGAGGCTAACAAATGGTTTGATTTCTCTTTTTCATTAGCCAAAAAAAAAAAAAAAAATGAAGACCAGAAAGAGTCCAATAAGTTGAGAGTTTAATCACACACAAAAAAAAAACCATCAGAGGTCTCCCAGGATACTGGAGACAGATCAAGAAACAGCCCAAGTGCCTTAGCACCTAGCAGGCCTAACCCTCTGCATGCAGACCCTCTGTGAGTAAGGAGCCCTGCAGGAGGGAGAGGAACTACCTGGACACCCTGGGGTGAAGGATGCTAGTTGGCAGGGACTGAACAGAAAGGGCTGGAATGGAGGAAAGGCTCAGCGTGGGGAGACAACACTCACCTCTGTAGCTGCCTCCCAGCACCACATGCTTGTATGCTCGCTACTGCTCTTGGGGCTCCTGCTCCCCCCCCACTAGCTCCACCCCTGTCCTCAGTCATCCCAAGTATCAGTGTGCCACAGTCCCCCAAAGGGGTGTGGCTTCATTATACCTTCAGACAAGAGACTACCCGTCTACTTGGAACAACCCAGACTGCCTCCTCGCCCACCCCAACTCTATCTGATTTGTAAATTCCTTATAGTCAAAGCCATGCACCTGTGGGACAGTCAGAGGCTGAGCCTCACCAGTGCCATCACTAGTTGAGTCAGCTTGGGCAAGTCATCTGTCTGAGCCTCTGCCTTCTCATGCATCAAATGTCAATGATGCCCTTTGGAGGAGGGGCGAAGACAATTGCCACGCACAAGGAGGCGGTCTGCCAGCAGAGCACAACATTCAGCCGCCATTAGTTCTGTCTTGGGGGTGACAGACGTTTGTGTGGAGTAGCTGGACATCATTTCTGATACCTCAGAAATATAAGGACAGAAGCGGAATTTGAATCACAGGGGAGCTGGAGGCCACGCCTCGTCCCTCTCTCCCTCTTATTCTGTGAGGTTGACCCTTGTCCTCTGGACCACAGCAAGGGCTGGGTGTGTGTGTGTGTGACTCAGATCCTCCCAGCAGACTCTGAGGGGGGCAACCCCAGGAAACCTGTGGTGGTCTTCGAAGAGAAAAATCTCCTTTTCCTGGGCTGATGACAAATGACATTTCTCTGAAATCAAAACCAGGGGCTTCTTTCACTTTCTGCTCAAGGGGTCAAGATCCCTGGAGATTTCCGCCTCTTATCACACTTCTACCCCGCCCTCTCCTCTTCCTGTGTGGCTCAAGATGTCCTTGAAATGTCTGTCCTGCCTCAGCCGGTGCCACCATCTCTATTGTTGACATTCTTTAATTTGAGGAAGGGATGACCCCTTTTAAGACTCGCTTCTTTTTCTTTTCCTTTTTTCCCCTTCTATCAATCTGATCCTTAAGCTGATCTTTTCATTCACTGAGAAGATACCTTGGGATATTTGTGGTCTGTGTCTGGTATGCCATTAAGGTACGATAAATAACTAGAAGAGAAACTAGCCAGATGTTCATAGACTGCTGTGCTGACAAGAATCAGTCTGAGTCCCCATAGGTTTCTCCCTAGATTCTGGCCCCTCCTAGACCCAGTGAGGTAAGATTTGCTTTTTCTCCCTTTGGCTCCAGGGGATTCAAACCAGCCTCTACTTCTCTCTCCCCCAGGCCGAGGATGCCTTCCCTCCCATTGGAGCTTGGATGCAGGCTGGTGCAGCCCCTCCTAGGTCAGACAGGGTGTGTCGGTGGGTGAGGCTGGTGAGGGCAGTGGGGTGGAGATAGGGGAAGGTGAGTCAGAACGAAAGGGAAAATGCAAATAGCAATCTGTGTTCATCTGCTCCTCGGAAAGCTACATATTTTCCATTCCTGAGACCACACACTCGGGAACACACGAGATTCTCCCATGTAAAATCACAAAATGCCAATCGTCCCGACCGATAGGTGCGCAAACAGACAGAACTTCCTCTGACGCAAAGACACAGTCTCCACAGACAAGAAGTGTGGCAAAGCCACAGTTGCAGAGGAAAAGGTACTTGGGGTCTGGTGACAGCCTCATCGTCCAGAGGAGGAGGAGGAGGAGGAAGCCCCTCCCCTGCCAGTGACTCAGCTGTCCCACTGGTGCTTAACCCACTGATGACCAATAAGTGGGGGCTGCTCACAGCATCTCTGTAAGCAAAGACAGTTGATTGGAGTGACAGTGGGCTTTCGGGGCACCAAAAGGGAGAAAAGAGCAAGGGGGTTCCCACTGAGCAAAAAAAGCCCCCAAACAATAGGAAACCCCATCTGCCTCCCACTTGGTGCCTACCCATGGTAAGGGTGTCCCCTTAGAGATAGATCCCTTAGAGGTAGTCTCAGGGCTCGTTGAACCCGAGCCCTTATGCTGGTGACGCTTGAGGCCCTTCCCTAGCCTCTTCCTACAGCCGTGGAAGGGCAATCCAGGATATTGGGAATTAAGCAATGTCAACAGAAACCGATGCAACAGTAAGCACTTTGACTTGCAAGACGAAGGACACCATTGTCAATCACAGACCCTCTAGTTGCCTTTCTCTCTATTCCAGAAATTTAGCCACATCCTCCTGCTGCTCTCCATCTCTCTAGGATACAGCTAAGAAGCCCTGCTATTCCGTGGCCTTTCAGACCCTCCCCCTTATAACTGCAATTCTAAGATCATGGTTCTATCTAGTACCAGGAATCATGTAATGCCAGGAGTCATATAGATCTCGACAGACTAAATCACATGGTATGAAACTTGCTGCAGCTTCATAAAAACCTATACAAGTCAGAAAAACCCTCTAGGATCAGATGGCGTTTCTTCAAGCCCTCTGTTAGGCTGTACATAGAGACTATCTCTGTCTCTCCCAGTGAGTATCTCTTTAGGATACTTTTGTCTGTCTGTTTGAGACAGGGTTTCTCTGTGTAGCCCTGACGATCCTGGAACACTCTGTAGATCAGGCTGTCCCCAAACTCAGAGATTTCCCTGGATCTGCCTCCCAAATGCTGGGGTTAAAGGTGTGTGCCACCACTGCCCAACTCTGAGAGGTAATTTCAAGTTTGATCCTTTCCCAATAGAACCAACCTGATGATGCATCTGGCCTCTGATTTATAACCTGGCTTACTGTTTTGGAGTGTCTCCCTTCTCTGAGAAAAGCGACACTTGTTGGGATTCCTAGTACTCAGGAGGCTCAAGTACGAGGATCATGAGTTTGAAGCCAATCTGAGCAACATGAGACACTGTCTGAATGAGACAACAAACACTGTCCCCATTTTCTGCTTCCCGAGTTCATGCAGAGCATTGTCTGCCACTGTCACCTGGGGTAGGGTCAAGACACCCAGGCCAGGAGGACACAGCCTGTGTCCAAGTAGAGGGTAGATATGGACATGTGATCAGAAGAGAAATATGTGGGAAAGGAGGCATGACTGCCTCACTATTTTGTTTTTTGAGATAAGGTCTATTGCCCAGGCTGCCCTGGAACTCACTCTATAACCCAGGCTGATGTCATGGAAATCTCCCTGCCTTAGTCTCCCAAGTTCTGGGGTTTCTAGGAATGAGCCGTCATCCGCGCTTTCTCTGTTCTTTAGTACCCATATTACTGAATCAAATTTGAGGCCTGACATTTTTATCCCTACTAACAGGATTGGCCAATGACAATAAAAGGAACACGTGTGAGGTGCTCAGTGCACACAGACTGGATCCAAAACCAAAGTTTTCTATAAATACTGTATTACTGTAACGCAAAACCCAGCTCAATGTAACAATGTCATCAAGGCAATACAAATATCGATTCTATTTAAATATTACAATCACGCCAGGCGTTGGCGGCGCACGCCTTGAATCCCAGCACTCGGGAGGCAGAGGCAGGCGGATCTCTGTGAGTTCGAGGCCAGCCTGGTCTACAGAGTGAGTTCCAGGACAGCCTCCAAAACAATACAGAGAGACCCTGTCTCAAAAAACCAAAATAAATAAATACATAAATAAATATTACAATCAGACTATTACAATATGCCAGCAGTGGTTTCTTTATGGAAGATGTCCTCTTTTGTCTGCCCCGCCCTTTTTTTCGTTTGGAGACATGATGTCACTGTGTAGCCCAGGCTGGTCTCCTGCCCGTCCTCCCACTTCAGCCTCCCAAGAGCTGTGATTATAGGTATCACACCTCCTTTTGTCGCTGTACTGAGTCCACTCCCCAAGCCAAGCTGAACAGAATTCAATTTACAACAACTCTGTTAGGGCAAACAATCTTCCCAGGAGCACGCGTTCCCCCCAAACAAGGCTCCCAAACTCTCCATAGTATTTACATGTGTTCACACCGATGAGAGGAACTCTGAGCTGTTTACTCAAGTCAGGCATATCCCATGTATGCCAGAGCAGAGAGACAGCTGGTGAATTTGTTCCCTTCTTCCCTTAAACCAGGTCATGAGGGTAAGTAAGGGGAAAAACTACTTGCATTCAGCATACCCAAGAACAGAATATAGCCGGGAGCTGAACCCGGTTCACAGAGACCTGTGGTAGCACACCTTTTGTGGAATGGGTGACAAAGGAACGAAGCTAGCCACCAGAAACCACAGGCACCTCCGCATCTTTCCAACCCCTTCTTTGGTCTGACTGTGGGGCTAAACTCTCCCTAAATCCTCAACCTCCTCATGGGGGCTGCTTCAAGACGACTGCCCAATATCAGTATTCACCTAAACCCAAGCAGAGGACCTCATGTTGGCCTTGTTGGCCTTCGTCTCTCCCTGTGGGCTGAAGATTCCCAGGGCATCTAGGAAGTGCCCACTCGGGTACTGAGAGAACCCCCACACATGAACCCACTCACACATCCCTAGACTATTATCTGGGAATTCAGAGTTTACTGGACCAAATGACGCTAAGTCCACATGGCCCTCAACTGTCCACTCATGAGAGTGGACCGTTTGTGAACACACAATCACACTTGAGAGCCTGTGGTGACTGCAGATGGGTGTGCAAGTTAGCGTATGAGACCGACGTATACTATATATACTCATACAGCGCCGGGCGGGGGTGGCGCACACCTTTAACCCCAGCATTTGGGAGGCAGAAGCAGGAGGATCTCTGAGCTGGAGGCCACCCTGGTCTCTCACATTGCTCTGAAACCCATGCCTACACGGGTTAATATGTTCATCATCTTTACAATCCCTTTAGCCCTCTTCCGACTGAATACGCACACATGTATACGTTTCCTTATGATTTTCGAGAGCAAACAGACCATGGAAGCCCAGTCACGGGACTGTCTTCCAGGCCTACATCCTGAGTGTACCCTGAGAACTTTAGCAACCAAGTGAAATGAGGTGTCAACACACCGCCCCACCAAGGCTAAAACAGAAAGCATCAGTGAGCCAGGAGTGGGAACGCATGCATAAAATCCCATCACCCCAGAAGCTGAGGCAGGAAGGTCATAAGATTGGGGGGCCTGACTAAGTCCATAGCAAGCCCCTGTCTCAAAAAACCAAAATAGAAGACCACCAGTAAAGATGACTCCCTACAGCACAGAGGACCTCACATAGCCTGCGCCGACCCGCCCCCCTTTCCGACCACCACGCCAGCCCAACTGCTGTGCCTGCTCCGTGCAAGTACTAATTCCTATTGGGCATCGGGCTTGGCTGGGGTTTGGAGGCTTCCTCCCCAGAACCTCCATCCTGGTCACACGTCCAACCTGCAGGACCCAACGCTGAAAAATGCTCTCGAGCACGTCCTTCAACCCGATGTCGGGGAAAACAACCGTACACGTAGCCTGGGAACTGACAGTTTCCAGTGGATTTTCAGCCTCATCCACACTGGCTCCAGTCCGAGCTGGGTCCGAAGACCCCAGGAGACTCCCCGACCCCACCCACGCCCGGTGCACACCGGCGAACCACAAGCCTCTCCCTGCAGTTGCCAGAGCCAGCGGCTCCCCTGTTTTTCCCCCTTCAGCACAGGCTGGTCTCAGGGACCGTGGATAAAAAACCAGAGGGCACGCTTGCCTCACCTTCTGCCCAACCTGGACCCCAAAGCGACCGACCGGGAGACGCGACCTAAAGCCATTTCGGGTGCTCACAACGTCCCTCGAGGACGCCCCCACCCCCCCAGCCCTAGCATTCTCTGGGCTAGACCCGATATCAAAGGCAAAAGGAAGAAAATCCACATCACTCACCAGTTCGGTCTCCTCCCACATCAACCTCCACCCGCTCTGACGGCACAGAGTGGCCGTTAGCTCAACGCAAAGCCCGGAGCTCGAGGCCATCAGCCTCCCTCCCTCCCTCCCTCCCGAGCGCTTGATCCCGAGGCACACGCTGACTGGCTGTCGCTCCGACCCTGTTCTTTCCTGATTGGTGCCAGCTGGGCGCTGACCAGCCAGCGAAGCCCCTGGCTTCTCCCTGCAGCCGATTGGCCGCGGAACTCGGGGCCTCGAGTCTGATTGGCCCGCGGGGTGTGAGCGAGCAGCAAGGCGGGAAGCTGAGATGTCATGTGCCGTCAACCAGCCGACAGCGTTGGCTGGCTACTGGCTTTGCCCTTGCCTGCCCTCTCCGATGACCTTTCTTCTGTCACTGCCAGTGGCCTCGGAGGCCCCAGCAACGCGGACTCAAGGAAAACACCTTTCCTTTCCACGCCTTGCTACTCCAAAGCCGAACCCACTCTCTGAAAACTCAAGCTTTGTCTCAGCCCGCTCTTGTGGGAATTCACAATGTCCGGGGAAGATGTAAGCTAACAACACAACCAGTCTGTGTCTCGGTAACTGCAAACTCCAAACAAGTATATCCAGACTTGGAAGAGCGGAGGGAAAAAAATTATCTTCTGCAGCAAACGAGGAGAGCACAGGAATCATTTGGGAGGATGAGGAATTTATTAGGGAGGCTACACATTTGGGTATATTCCTGCACAGACAGGCCTAGTTTGTACCATAAACATTTATCTGAAAATAAAGGAAAGGAACAATAACTTAAAAGAACAAAAGACTTGGGGCTGTAGAGATGGCTCAGAGGTTAAGAGCACTGGCTGCTCTTCCAGAGGACCTGAGTTCAATTCCCAGCAACCACATGGCGGCTCACAACTGTCTGTAACTCCAGTTCCAGGAGATTCTGACATCTTCACACCAATGAACATAAAATAAAGTTTAAAAAAGAAGAACAAAAGACTTATTTTCACCCTGGACACAGATCTCCAGATCTCTACGAGCTTGGTCTACATTGCACGTGCCAGGCCACGCAGAGCTACATAATAGGAAGACTCTGTCCCCACCTCTCTCCCTCTCTCTCTCCCTCTCTCCCTCTCTCTCTCTCTCTCTCTCTCTCTCTCTCTCTCTCTCACACACACACACACACACACACACACACACACACACACACACTCCACACCACACTGGAGTTGGAATTAAGGGCAGTTATGAACCGCCTGATGTGGGCGCTGGAGAACCACGTCCTGCTGAGCCAGCAGGAGAATGTATTGCAGCGCCCAGGATCGACTACTGCCTGGATCTCCGCCAAGGAGGCACCTTGCACAAACCAGTTCTGGCTGGGCCCCGCCTGCGGTGGTGCTGCTGGTTGGCGGCTCCTGGTACGCAACCAATGAGACACGAGGGCGCTCTCGAAGAGGCAGGCCTTGATGTGCCGCTGCCTCTCCTAATTGGTCCTGAGGTTGCTTTCGCTGTGGATTGACCGGGAGGCGGGAGGCTTGCAGCCCGCAGCGCTCAACCCCCTCCCCCTCCACGCTACCCCTTCCCTGGCTAGGCTCACCGCCTTTAACGAGGCCTACAGAAGAAATGCTGCGAGGAGGGGTCATGGGGATGGGCGAGATGAGTATCCGGGAAACGGCAGCACGTGGAGGAGCCTGGCTCAGTACCCACAGCTGTAAGGTTGGAAGGCAGCGCTCGCTGTGGCTTTAGCAACGCTTGATCCAGCCCTTTCCACCGATCGCCTTGTGCATGCACATCGGCCAGGGCAGAGGATGTGTGCTGTATCGCGCTCACCCTCCGGAGATCAGAGAGGTGAAACCCATTCATTGTCTCACGTCACCCAAGTCCAGTCACTGTTCCCGTGGAAGCTGCATCGGGTGGAGTGGAGAACGGTGGAGCTTGCCTGTCATCCCGCACTTGGGAATCTGAGGCAGAGGCCAGTCTGAGCTGCGTATCCAGATCCTATCCCCGAGAAAAAGAGAGACAAGTTAACAAAACACTGCATTATGATTGAACAGAGTTGAACTTGCAGATGGGTAATAGAGTCTGGTGTGGTCAGCATAGTCACGTGGTCTGATTCGCCTTCCCTACAAATGGGGGTTTATGATTTTTTTTCCTGCTCTAATATCTACTATGACCTATCTCTTGCTTTTTGGTGGGGGGGGGCTGGGGTTCGAGGCAGGGTTTCTCTGACTTTGGAGGCTGTCCTGGAACTAGCTCTTGTAGACCAGGCTGGCCTCGAACTCACAGAGTTCTGCCTGCCTCTGCCTCCCGAGTGCTGGGACTAAAGACGTGCGCCACCAACGCCCAGCCTGTCTCTTGCTTTTTAAATATACTTGTATTAGTTCCTCGAGAATTTCATACATGTGTATTTTAACCATGCCCCCACCCCTCACCCATCCCCACCTCCCAATCCCACCCCTCCGTCCTAGGAGGATGTCAGGGGTCCTTGCTCTCCTGACTTCTTCCCTTTAGACAAGGTCTCTCGCTGCTTCTGGAACTAGACTCCCAGCCAGCAAGTCCCAGCAATCTTTCTGTCTCACCCTCCTGTGTCAACCCCATAGCCTTAGCCTACCAACACTGGTTTTTTGTTTTTGTTTTTTAATAAAGGGCTCTTGGGATTTGAACTCTGGTCCTCCTGCTTGTGAAACATTCACTATTACAAATGAGCGGATCTCCCAAGTCCCAGGGTTTAGGTTTGGATTCTAGACTTGGATCTAGTCCTGAAGAGTTGGCATAATCAGATCCTGTCTCAGAAAGAGGGAGAAAGACTTATTTCTCACCGGGCAATGGTGGCACACGCCTTTAGTCGCAGCACTCAGGAGGCAGAGGCAGGCGGAACTCTGTCAGTTCGAGACCAGCCTGATCTACAAGAGCTAGTTCCAGGACAGCCTCCAAAGCCACGGAGAAACCTGTCTTAAAGAATTAAAAAAAAAAAAAAAGACTTATTTCTCCCTGGATGCTTAAAGAAGGGACAGGAAGTATGTATTCTTTGGTTCCCAGCTGGTGGTGCTGTCAGGGCGTAATGGGATCATGAAAGCACTGACTTCATTAATGGATTAATCAGTTGATGAATTCATGGATGAATGGGCTATTAGGCACTGGGGCCCGGATACAGGAAGTGGGTCACTGGAGGTGTGTCTTGTAGGTCCTCTCCTTTTACTTGATCAAACTCAGGATGTTAGAGTCTCTCTCTCTCTCCCTCCCTCCCTCCCTCCCTCCCTCCCTCCCTCCCTCCCTCCCTCCCTCCCTCTCTCTCTCTCTCTCTCTCTCTCTCTCTCTCTCTCTCTCTCTCTCGTGTGCTTTCTGGCTTTTGTTTTGTTTTGTTGAGAGAGTTTCTCTGTGGCTTGGGAGTCTGTCCTGGAACTCGCTCTTGTAGGACAAGCTAGTCTCGAACTCACAGAGATCCTCCTGCCTCTGCCTCCTTGATGTGATGATGGTTTGAATAAGATCTTCCTGGGCAGGGTGGCACAAGCCTTTAATCCCAGCACTCAGGAGAGGCATAAGTAGGCAGCTCAGAGATCTCTGTGAGTTCAAGGCCAGCCTGGTCTGCAAATGGAGTTCCAGGACAGTCAGAGAGCTGTTACACAAAGAATCCCTGTCTTGAAAAAAAAAAAGAAAGAAAGGAGCCATAGCCCCAATAAAGTCTGTCTTCCAGCCTTGGTCACAGTATTTTAATCACAGCAACAGAGAAATAATGAACACACATGGCAAGCTCCTCTACCCACTGAGCCATCCTACTGGCCCACGCCTCCCTTCTGTTTTTGTGACGCTGAGGGTCCAACCCAGGGCTTTGCACATGCTGGGCAAGTGTTATAGGATGATGAACTACATCCCCTAGACCCAAACTGATTTTCAGACTTGAGGTCACCTGTTTTAGCCTCCCAAGTGCTGAGTTACCAACACCAACACCACACCTGGCTTTGAACGTAAGTTTTATAAAGGGAGAAACGGGTCTGATTTATATTCTCTTGGAATATTTGAGACAGCGTCCATGTAGCCCTGGCTGTCCTGGAATTCGCTATGTAGATCAAGCTGGCCTTGAACTCACAGAGATCCACCTGCCTCTAAAGGCACTCATCCCTCCCACCCAACTTTTTTTTTTTTTTTGATATGCTGGTCTCTATGTAGCCCAAGGTGGCTTCAAACTCCATATGTAGCCCAGGCTGGCCTTGGCCCCCTGATCCTCCTACCTCTCTGTCTGTCTCCCAGATCCTACATTAAAGGAGTGTGCCACCACAGCTGGCCAGTTGTTACTTTTCAACTCTCCTCGCAATAATGTGAACGTGCATGCACTCCTGAGTGAGTATCCTGGACAGGTTCGCGGCAGTGGACCGGGTTGGATAAAGGGATGCAAATTTTACATTTAAATGAAAAACAGCAGCAAACTTACTTTCACGGTTGAAGCAGAATTGTTTTGTGCCCTGCTTGGTTGCTGTGTACCATCACTCTTTCTGCTCTGTGGGGCAGGAAAGAGAGATAAGCATGGGCAGGTGGCAAGGGACCAAGCCACATGGACCCCTCCACATCAGGTGAGGAAGCCGACCATGTGCTGGGGGCACCAGGGAGCCGGAGGTAGTTAGCGGACCGAGACAGTCTTGAAAGGGCTGGGGGACTGCAGGAGGAACAGACACCAGATGGCTGCCTCTCTCTCTCCCAGGATACCTGTTCTGACCTGGCCCACGCCTCTCTGCTCCCCTCTTACCCGAAGGCACTGGCCTCTGGGCGAGAGGCCAGGAAGGAGAAACCTGTCCCGCCAGCCCAGGCTGGCTCCGTCAAGCTGCTGTCAGTCCAGCTGAGCTACTCTGAGGGTGCCACGGGACAGAAGCATGCAGGGAGGGTGGTGGCACCCCTGGGACAGAAATGGGGGTCTGCCTGCCTGACGCGGTCTTCCGGAGGCCAGGCTCACCCCATGGCTCCCCCGAACGCCTAGCAAGGGCTGGCCTGTCTGACTGCTTAGGGCAGGTTCAGGCACGCCCAGCAGAGTAGCTCTACTCTCTCCGTGCACCCTGCACGGCACAGCAGCAGCAGCAGCATATTTATTTGACCTTTTAAGACTTAGGGAGCTGGAGAGACGGCTCAGCGGTTAAGAGCACTGACTGTTCTTCCAGAGGACCCGGGTTCAATTCCCAGCACCCACGAGGTAGCTCACAACTGTCTGTAACTACAGTTCTATGAGACACAACATCTTATTAAAAATAAGTAGCTAAAAAAATATATAGGTGGCATTAGACAGATGGCGGTGGTGGCCCATGCCTTTATCCCCATCACTCAGGAGGCAGAGGCAGGAGGATCTCTGAGTTCCAGGCCAGACTGGTCTACAGAGTGTCAGGACAGCCAGGGGTTACACAGAGAAACCCTGTTTCAAAAAATCAAAAACTAAGCCGGGCGTTGGTAGCGCTAGCCTTTAATCCCAGCACTCAGGAGGCAGAGGCAGGCAGATCTCTATGAGTTCGAGGCCAGCCTGGTCTACAAGAGCGAGTTCCAGGACAGCCTCCAAAGCCACAGAGAAACCCTGTCTCGAAAAACAAAAACAAAAAAAACAAAAACTGAATAAAATGTAAAGAATAGAAAACCAAAACAACAACAAAAACCCAATAGGGTTCTGTGTTATGAGACATGACTGTTGTAACCATAGAAGACACGGGGAGGCTCAGGCAGTTGGGTGGGGCTGGGAGGATGCCTCTCCCCGAGAATCCCAGCCACACGCTAAGGCACAGTGAGCTTGCTCAGGAGGGCACCTGCTTCCCAGCAGAGAGCAGCGCGCAGTGCCCCATTTCCTTGATGTGGCTACAGGTTAGACAGACACGTGCCTAGAGAGGGAGACACGTTCCTGCTTGGGACTACAGGGAAACCAGTTCAACCAGCCAGCTAGCCGGGCCTCTTCTGTGTATTAAAATCTGGAGTACATCCTGTCTCTGTGGGGGTTTGAAAACTCTGATTTGAAGCTAGCCCCTGTGATGCGCGTCTGGAATTTCAGCACTCCGGAGGCAGAGGCAGGGCGACACTGTGGAGGAAGGACTCAGAGGCTGAAGAGGACCTAAGCTCAGATCTCGGATTTCCACAGCTGGCAACCCCAGCGGCGGCGGAGCAGGCAGAGATGTGAGGATTGTTGGATTCTCTGGCCAGAAAAATCTAGCCTGAAGGAAATGTTGGGCTCAAGGTTCAGTGAGAAAGCAGGTGACTTCCTCTGGCCTCTCCTCTGAGTGCGCACGCGCACACACACACACACACACAGAGACAGAGAGAGACAGAGAGAGAGAGAGAGGAGAGCGTGGACTACACAATGAGACTATATCTCAAAAAAGAAAGAAAGGACAGGAAATGTCAAATGTCAAAGCATTAAGTCTGATGTTCGCAGAGGAAGCCGGTTTCTGGAAACCGAGGCCATCCAGACATGCCTGCAGCCAGCCATGTTGAATCCATGGCGTGAACCAATAAATCACATAGGATGCATCACCAATGACAGCTGGATTTCACCACTTCCCTGCGGAAGTCTTATGCACTCGCCCTAGTCCCCAAAAGAGAACAAACTCAGGCTGGGTGGAGTGTTGCATGCTGGGATACCAGCATTCTAGAGGTGGAGGCAGGAAGGGGAGGTGATTGTGGGTCACACCTGTAATCTTCTCATGAGGGGAGGCGGATGCCGCGGGATCACCTTGGCTTCCAGGCTAGCCCAGGACACGTATAAATTCCATCACCTTGGCTTCCAGGCTAGCCCAGGACACTTATAAGTTCCATCACCTTGGCTTCCAGGCTAGCCCAGGACAAGTATAAGTTCCATCACCTTGGCTTCCAGGCTAGCCCAGGACACGTATAAATTCCATCACCTTGGCTTCCAGGCTAGCCCAGGACACGTATAAATTCCATCACCTTGGCTTCCAGGCTAGCCCAGGACATGTATAAATTCCAAAGACTGTCTGGGCTTCCGATCAAAGCCCCCATCTCCAACAACACAGAAAACAGTCTCGTGCTTATTCAGCCAGCCGGTATTTATTGGACATGTGGCCCATGCTCAGACACACGCTGGCTGGTGATCTGGGTGGTGATGGGAGCCCCAATGACCATGGCAGAGTACGTCCCTCCTCCTACAGCAATCTGGGCCTACTGGAGCTTACACAAACCACTGAGCAACCACGGCTACAGAGAGGCGCATGCTGGGTCGTCAGGAAGAGCGGAAGGGCCTCGGGGGACAGGACGTTTGCCAGGTCAGCAGAGCCAAACGGGACCAACGGGGTCCAGGCACACAAATCCAGGTCTGGGGCACAGCTAGGGTCCAAGGCAGCTCCTACAGCTACAAAGGGACTTTGGGATCGCGAGAAGGGAAGACGGAGGGAGGTGGGCAGGGGTGGGCTGTGACCGAGGCACGCGGGGATGGGGCGGGGGCGGGGTGGGGAGGGGGTTGAGGAACTCCGGGTGCAGCCGCCGCCAGGCAGGGGCTTCAGGCAGAGGTGTGCGTGCGTGCGCGCGCGGCTTCCCCTTCATCCTCAGAGAGTGGTGTAGAAGTACATGGCGATCAGCATCACCGGGAGCTGGGTGGGCAAGCGATGAGCCTGGGTGCCCCAGCCCCCAAGCCCGCTCGTCTCCCCCAAGACCACGCCCGCACCCCTGCACGCCCGCAGCTCCCTCCTCCACAGCCCACGGGTGTCCCTTCTCTCACTGTCCACATCAAGATGGCGAAGCCAAACCACGATATGCCCCACGTGTAGCTGTCGATGGCGTGACCGATGTGCTCGAAGCAACCCTGGGGAGAGGGACAGTCGAGGCTTGGGGACGTGCCACGGGAGGATGGCGGGTGACGGAAAGTCACCACGTGCCCTGACAGGCGTCCCTTTCTCCCCTTTGCCTTGTTGTTCCCATCTGTGCAATGGGGTTGTGGCCGTGCGTGCCTCCTGGAAAGCGATACTGAACCCAGTCCCCAAGGCAGCAGCTGCCGCTCTGATTGACAGCTGTCAGTCTGGGCTTGCTTGTGTTCTGCCTGGCTCTCTGGGCTACCCACAAACCCCAAAGCGTTTAAAATCCAGCTTTGTTTCTCATGCACTCCTGATACCTGCTCACTAGAGACAAGGCTGACACCAGGGTCGCCTTCCCGGACCCGTTACAGCCACGATGTAGTTGAGAGCAAAGGGCCAGAGTATGTGACCCTGTCAAGGGCAACCAGGCCCGGGGTTAGCTCTGCTCCCTGTTGCCGGAACACGGACGCAGTTCTGGCTCTCTGAGCCCCGCTTTCCAGCCTGCTAAGCGGCAGTCTGGAGAAGTGACACGGGGACTCTGAGGTGACACTCGGGAGAATATACGGGGGACGTTGGCTTGAGAACGGGTTGTCCTAGTCTGTCCCTGGAGACACGGGTTCCCCAGGACATCTCCCCTCCAAACCTGATGTAAGACTCGCAGCGAGCCGCACAAATGGAGCAGGGTCTAGCGTTAACCCACCCGCCTCCTGCCTCTTCCTGGCCGCCCTGCTCTCCCCCTCACAGAGATGAACCTCTTCCTCTGTTGACTACGATGTCAGCTTTCCCTCCTGTGGCTGTGACTAAGATAAAACACCAGAGCAGTTGGAAACGCCTGGCACCGGGGATGCCCCGCCCCACGTCTGTCCTTATTGCTCTTAGTGCTACTGCAGTAACAACAGCGGCGTTTCTCATTTCCTTAGTTTTTTTTTTGTTTGTTTTTTGTTTTTAATTGTTTTTTTGAAACAGGGTTTCTCTGTATTGTTTTGGAGGCTGTCCTGCGGCCACACTCAGGGGTTATTATTTTTGGAGACAGGATCTTTGTTATATCTCCCAGGCTAGCCTCAAACTGGCAGTGGTCCTCCACAGCTGAGATTACTGATGTGCACCACCACAATCACTTCAGCTGTTATTTTTTTAAAAGATTTTATTTATTTATTATGACTACAACATCTTGCGCCGGGCGTTGGTGGCTCACGCCTTTAATCCCAGCACTCGGGAGGCAGAGGTAGGCGGATCTCTGTGAGTTCAAGGCCAGCCTGGTCTACAGAGCGAGTTCCAGGACAGTCTCCAAAACAATACAGAGAAACCCTGCCTCGAAAAACCAAAAAAAAAAAAAAAAAAAAAAAAAAAAAAGACTACAACATCTTGCTTCATGTATGTCTGCACACCAGAAGAGGGCGCCAGATCTCATTACAGATGGTTGTGAGCCACCACGTGGTTGCTGGGAATTGAACTCAGGACCTCTGGAAGAGCAGTCAGTGCTCTTAACCTCTGAGCCATCTCTCCAGCCTTCAGCTGTTATTTTTTAATATTAGTAGTGAGTGCTGGGTATTGAACCCAAGGCCTCTTACATGCTTAAGAAAGCATTGTATCACTAAGCCACGCCCCTCAGCCCCTCACTGGGGGATTCTAGGCAGGGGCTCTGCCACTGAGCCACACCCCAAGCCCCTCACTGGGGATTCTAGGCAGGGGCTCTACCACTGAGCCACACCCCAGCTCCTCACTGGGGGATTCTAGGCAGGGGCTCTGCCACTGAGCCACACCCCAAGCCCCTCACTGGGGGATTCTAGGCAGGGGCTCTGCCACTGAGCCACACCCCAAGCCCCTCACTGGGGGATTCTAGGCAGGGGCTCTATCACTGAACCCTGTCATTGGCCTTCTTTTTACTTCTGAGGCAGGGGCTCTTGAAGTGGCTCAGGCTGGTCATGCAGGACCAGCCTGCCTCAACTCACTAAGTACACAGGCGTGAATGCAAGGCCTAGCTCCAGCAACTGATAACATTCCTGTTGCTGCGCTCATTCCCAGACAACCAGCTGCAGCCGTCGGGTCTGAATGAGACTGTGGGCGTGCATCCCGCCGACTGGTACCAAGAAAGAGCTGGGAGAACCAGGGAGAAGGGAAAGAAAGGAAAGGCCAGGGAGGAGAGGCTGGAAGACGGACGGACGGAGAGACAGACAGTAGAAGCGGGAAAGGGAGAAACGGAGCAGATGGACAGACAGATGACCCCGGCAGAGGGACACACCTTGGTAAACAGGTAGTCCACGTGGCCCACTCGGCAGCCTTCTTCGTTGACGGGGATGAAGTTCCCTGTCCGACGGCAGCACAGGGGGGGCCAGGGGAATTCCACTTCTGGGGTGGCTGCCCGGAAGGCTGATGTGTAATTCACCCAGTCCATCGGGCCAGATGTACCACAGCATTCTTGCTGTAGAAAGAGCCAGGGTTAGACAGGGCTGGGGCTGACGTCACAGTCAAAGAGAGGAAGGTTGACTTTTGGCACAGCTGGGTCCTATTTGCCAGAGTCCTGGACTCTGTGTGTGTGTGTGTGAGAGAGAAAGACAGACAGACAGAGAGAGAGAGAGAGAGACAGAGAGACAGAGAGAGAGAGAGAGACAGAGAGAGAGAGAGAGAGAGAGAGACAGAGAGAGAGAGAGAGAGAGACAGAGAGAGAGAGAGAGACAGAGAGAGACAGAGAGAGACAGAGAGAGACAGAGAGAGAGAGACAGAGAGAGAGACAGAGAGACAGAGAGACAGAGAGAGAGAGAGAGAGAGAGAGAGGTGTGTATAAGGCTGATAGATTTGGTCTAAACCTACACTCGTTTTTAAAAAAATTCCTCTGTGCTAATAAAATGTCATTAAAAACTAGATGTTAAAAATATCTGATGCTCGCCGGGCGTTGGTGGCACACGCCTTTAATCCCAGCACTCGGGAGGCAGAGGCAGGCGGATCTCTGTGAGTTCGAGGCCAGCCTGGTCTACAGAGTGAGTTCCAGAACAGCCTCCAAAGCTACAGAGAAACCCTGTCTCGAAAAAAAACCAAAAAGAAAAAAAGAAAAGTTCAGCACTAGCCTGAACTTCAGGAAACTGTTGTTTTTATTTGTTTGTTTGTTTTATGAGACAGGGTTTTTCTGTGTAGCCCTGGTTGTCCTAGAACCCATTCTGTAGACCAGGCTGGCCTAGAACTCAAAATATCTACCTACTGGGATTAAGGTAGGTGCCACCTGCTCGGTTGGAGCCTCTGGCTTGCCTTGCACATTCCAGGCAGCCTCATTTGTCTCTCTGTCTCTCCAAACCCTGCCTACTCATATAGTCTCGAGCATAGAACAGGCATCAAAAAGCCCAGGTCTGCATTCTTGGCGACTGCTGCAGCTTCTTCCCGATGCCACCCAAGTCCCTCCCTAAGCACCCAGTTTTTGATCATGCTCAGCCCAAACCCACCCTGTGGCGAACACGTCATCACCCCTCACCTACAATCTATAAAACCTCCCTGCCTTAGCTAGGGCGTGTGACTTCTCTGGCCTTGACCTCAGAGGCCAGTGAACCTGCCCAAGTTGCTTTGCCCTCAATATACCTGTTTTTATAATTTTCCAATTCGGCTTGATCTGGCTTACTGCATCAGCCCAGATACTTATTACTGGAGGACATAAAACCTACTGCCACCATTCTGGGCTTAGATTCTGTCTTAAATGATAAGCAGGGCTGAAGAAAAGGCTCAGTGGTTAAGAGCACAGGCTGCTCTTGCAGAGGAACTGGATTCAGCTCCCATTGCCCATATTAAGGGGCTCACGACCACCTGTGACTCCAATTCAGGGGATATGATGCCCTCTTTTTTTGCTTTTCTTTCTTCAAGACAGGGTTTCTCTGTAGACCAACCTGGCCTCAGACTCACAAAGATCCACCTGCCTCAGCCTCCTGAGAGCTGGGGTTAAAGGCGTGCGCCACCACCACCAGGCATGATGCCCTCTTCTGGCCATTGAGGGCACTGCATACACAGACAGCCTGCAAAACACTCACTCATACACCTAAAATGGAAAAAATAAAATTTTTTTTCTAATTTTGGTGTGTCTCTGTGGTTTGCATGTTTTTGCATGCGTGGGGTTTGCACATATGTGTGCATGCATGTGGAGGTCTGAAGCCGATGGAAAGACATCCTTGGATGACTCTTTAATACCATTTATTGAGGCAGTATACGGCAACCAGACCCAGAGCTTACCAATAGCCCGCTAGCCAGCTTGCTCTGGGTGTCCCCTCCCTCCACCTTCTGAGGTTAGAATTACATTCTCAGCTCGCTTTTATCTGGGTTTCAGGATCTCTGAACTCTGATCTTATTTGTAGAACAAACACCTAACCACTGAGCCATTTCCCTAACCCTCAATTCATAAATACCACATATTATTTATTTATGCCATATGGCACTCAGCATGGTGGAAGTGACCTGCCTGGATCACTATGTAGCTTGGGCTACATACTGAATTAAAGGGTAGCCTGGGTAACTTATGGTGACCCTATCTCAAAAAAATTAAAAGAAAAAAAAAGGGGCTGGGAGGCAGGGTAACAGATGGCTAAGTGGTAGAGCCTTTGCCTGGACTGTGTGGAGTCCTTGGGTTCAGTCAGCCCCCAGCAGCACACACACACACATGCACACATGAACGCACGCGCGCGCACACACAACACACACACACATATGCAGGCATGCAGGCACACGCGCACGCACACACACACACACACACACACACACACACGCATGCACACGTGCACACACAGTGCTTTATATGATGCCAAATGAAAGTCTTGGGAGGCATAAACAGAAGGTCAAGGTCAGCCTGGCTCACAAGCAAAAACTCATTATCGCCACCATCACTACAATAGAAGGAGACTCTGTCAGTGTTATTTGCAGGCAGCCCTGACGCTTACCCACCTGGTGACCCTGGAAGGGAAGCTTCTTTTTTCTGGGTCTGTTGTCTACCAAACCATGGGGACCAGAGGCTCCCCTATCCCACCTGGGCCCCCTGAGTGGATGTCTTCTAACCCTTCACTCTGCCATCACCGGGAGATGACCACAGAGCCCGACCCACCTCAATCATGACCCGGTCCCAGAGGCGGGTCAGCTCCTGGCCCTGGTCGCTGTCTGCACTGTAGAAGGTCAGCATTTGCTTGGTGATCAGGGACGGGTTGGACACCATCTGAGGAGGAGGGACGGGGAAGAGCAGGAGCTGGCTGGCTAGGGCTGGAGGCACACCTCACCCACCCCTCCACTCCCCACCCCCCACCTCCACCCCCCCCACGGGGTTCTGGCGCTCCCCCCCCCCCCCCTCACATAGTCACGGTGGGTGTAGGAGGTGATGCAGGAGGCACACTCGAAGATGTAGACTATGAGCATCAGCAGCAGGTACTGCAGAGAGACCAAGGGCAGCCATGGCAGAGAGGCCGGAGGAAGGCCATGCCTAGGTGCCTTGGGTCAAAGGGCCACAACAGCTTGTTGTTGTTGTTGTTGTTGTTGTTGGTTGGTTGGTTGGTTTTGAGCAGGGTCTCAAGATTTGGACCTCCCTAGTTAACCTGTAAATCCCTATGTACAGAGCTGGTTTCAAATTCGCAGAAATCTGCCTCACTCCCTCTTGCCAACATGAGATGGGACTAAGGGTGTGCCCCAAGCAGAACTTTGGTTCAGTGGGAGAGTGCTACCTTTCTGTAACGCACGTGCGCACACGCACACACGCGCACACACACACACACACACACACACACACACACACACGCACACACTAAACAAACAGAGGAACTAATTTGGAAAAACTTCTGTGTGAGGTGGAAGATTGAAAACCTGAGACAAATCTGGTCAGTGGTGGCGCACGCCTTTAATCCCAGTGCTCGGGAGCCGGATCTCTAAGTTGGAGTCTAGCCTGGTCTACAGAGCAAGTTCTAGGACAGTCACAGCTACACAGAGAAACCTTGTCTTTGAAAACAAAAGACAAGAAAAAAAGCAAAATTTAAAAAGGGGAAAAAGACAAGCCAAATATATATATTGGAGGCTGTCCTGGAACTCACTCTGTAGACCAGGCTGGCCTTGAACTCACAGAGATCCGCCTGCGGCTGCCTCCCGAGTGCTGGGATTAAACGTATGCGCCACCACCGCCTGGTACCAAATATGTTTTTTAAAAAGTAGTTAGGGGCCAGGCATGGTGGTGCATGCCTATTTAATCCCTGCACTTGAGAGGCAGAGGCAGGAGGATTTCTGTGAGTTTGAGGCCAGCCTGGTCAGCACAGCAAGCTCCGGAACAGTCAGGGACTACATAGAGAGACCCCGTCTCAATAGAAATAGCAAACAGAAACAGTAGTTAGGTTGGCGTCGGGCTTTGATTAAACCTCTGTGTCAGACAGCTGACTGTGTGATTGGAGGGTGGAGGAGAACCGGAGGGCGACTGGGTGTGGTTCCGGCTCAGCACTTAGGCGCGAGCCAGCAGGCGTCTGTGAGAAGTAGCTTGGTCTACACAGTGAGCTCCAGGCCTGCTCCAGCTACATAGGGAGACCCTGCATCAAGAAGGGGATGGGGGAGGCCGGGCGTTGGTGGCGCATGCCTTTAATCCCAGCACTCGGGAGGCAGAGGCGGGCGGATCTCTGTGAGTTCGAGGCCAGCCTGGTCTACAGAGCGAGTTCCAGGACAGCCTCCAAAGCCACAGAGAAACCTTGTCTCGAAAATCCAAAAAACAAACAAAAGAGGGGGATGGGGGGACAGAAAGAGGAGCAAGGGAGTGCTGAGGAAGTCCTTCTATGAGTAGCTGCATCTTATTCACACAGGATAAAGCCAGCTGTTCCCCTCCCAATCCCTACCCTGTGCTGTTTTCTGACCGCTAGATGGACTGCTGCCCCCTCCACCCTACACAGGCCCCCTTCATGCCCCAGATCAAGGGCTTGTTTAGTTGTGCTCGGTGCCTGTCTCTCAGTAAACACTCGTTGGCTATGTAAGTGATGATCCTGGGAGCCTAAGACGGAGACACCTGCTCTCCCCAACGCCAGGGAGGTGGTGGCTTCCCTCTCGGAGCTTGTAAATGGGCTTCAAGGCACAGTTTTGTATGACTTCTGGGAAGACCGAGAAAGCTCGTGGCCTGAACTGCTTGCTGTAAGGCCAAGGGCAAGGAAATGCGGCAGCGATTAAACTCTGGGCTTCCTGGGTGGGTGTGGCGGTTCATTTCGAAGCAGGCGCGGTTTTCATCGTAAATTCAAGGTGAACCGAAGCATAGTGAGACCCTTGTCTTAAAATGAAGCAAAAAGACCGAGCGTGGGCTTGTGTGTGATGCGAAGGCACACAGCCATAACCCAAGCACCTGCGCGGCTGAGACAGGAAGATCGTGAGCATGAGGGCCGCTGGGATTACACAGGGAGACTTTGTCTTAAAGAGGTGGCTTAGCGGAAGCCATGTGCCACCCTTGCAGGGACTTGAGTTCAGTTCCCAGCACCCCTACCAGCGTCCCACAGCCTCCTGTAACTCTCTCTTCTGGTTTCCTTGGACATCTGAGCAAGTGTGCACGTGCACATGCTAATAAAAATACAGGAACTCATGCCGGGCATTGGTGGGGGACACCTTTAAGCCCAGCACTCAAGAGGCAGAGGCAGGCGGATCTCTGTGAGTTTGAGGCCAGCCTGGTCTACAGAGCGAGTTCCAGGACAGCCTCCAAAACAATACAGAGAAACCCTGTCTCGAAAAACAAAAAAATAAAAATAAAAATACAGGAACTCTTGGGGCTGGAGAGATGGCTCAGTGGTTAAGAGCACCGGCTGCTCTTCCAGAGGACCTGAGTTCAATTCCCAGCAACCACACGATGGCTCGCAACCATCTGTAATGGGATCTGGTGCCCTCTTCTGGCCTGCAGGTGTACATGCGTAACACTCATACATAAATATATATATCTTAAACAAAAACTGGCATGGAGTCAAGGGCTGACTTGTTGGAGTTGGGCTGTGTGGCCCTGCATGGGTGACTTCCTCTCTTTGAACCGGTTCCAACTTTCTGTCAAATAGTGTAGAGGTCATAGGCCATGTGACATACATGAACTAATCTGTATGAAGTGCTGAACTCAGGGCCCAGGTTGGCATGCTTGCTAAATGATAGCTGTGTTATCACATTTCGTTTTATTGCCACAACTCAGGACCACAGAGACCAAAAGGTTGGCTTTCAATTCCCATTATTCTATTGGGAATACATATATAAATGTATACTATATGAAGATATTTCTATACATAAGTATTTATTGATATCACCCCTGCACCCCACTTTCCTCTGTACAATGGGGGTGACAGCTGAAACTAGGTTACGGGGCCAGGCATGGAGAATAGAATGAGAGGTGCTTGTGAGGTCTTGCACGAGTCACACTCATGCCCCTGCTGTCACCATGCCCCGTGATGGCCAGCGCCACCCCCTCCCCATCCTGGGATCTCACCGTGAGGATCATGGACCGACGGCGGCAGAGTGCGGCGCCTACACCAAAGCTGGCCACCACGAAGAAGGAGAAGCCGCAGAAGATGGCGATCCAGGCTCCCGCGAAGACGTCGTCCTTGCCTGAGACGCCCATCAGCGGGTATACACGGTACTGGTCAGCCGTCACCCACACCGTCTCGGCAAACAGGGCCAGGCCGGACAACTGGGCAGGGAGGGTTTGGAAAGTGTGCCTCGGGCCAGCTGTTGGGGTGTGAGTCTCCAAAATGCGCTTGGGCCTGCCTGGATGGGAGGCCAGCCCACATCTTTATGAGCAGAGATGGGGAGAAGCCAAAAGGAAGGTATGGTCCAGCCGGACGGAGCCCCAGCCCCAAAGACAAAAGCAGGCAGGCAAGGGGAGCACAAAGGAGTCGTCCTGCTGGCCCGCCATGCTTAGCGGTGCCGTTCTGAGGACGGGGTTTTGCTACAGGGGTGCTGTCCCGGGTAAGGCCAGAGCCAGCTCTCTGTGGCACCATGGTAAGGGGAGGGGAGGCCACGGGTCCAGATGCCTGGAGCCTGGCATCCTATGGTCTCATATGGAGCAGCCACGGGAGCTGCTGAAGGACACACAGCATGATGAGCTGCACTGGAACAGGAAAATGGGCTGGTCCGTTTCTGTTTGCTTAAAGAAATATCAAAAAGCCGGGTGGTGGTGGCGCACGCCCTTAATCCCAGCACTCGGGAGGAGGCAGAGGCAGGCGGATCTCTGTGAGTTCGAGGCCAGCCTGGTCTACAGAGCGAGTTCCAGGACAGCCTCCAAAATGCTACAGAGAAACCCTGTCTCGAAACCCTCCCCCCCCAAAAGAAGAAATATCAGAAACACTGAGGTGTCTCTCAGTTGGGAGAGGGCTTATCTAGTGTTCAGAAAGTCCTAAGCCAGCCTCATAGAAACTGGGCTGACTGGTGCACACCTGTAAGCCCAGTAGAGGCAGAGGGAGCCCAAGTTCAAGGCTATCCTTAGCTACATAAGGATTCTGAGGCAAGGCTAGACCTTGTCTCAAAAATAACAAAAGAGAAGCAAAAGGTCTGGTCACTACAGGGTTGTCATGGAGACAAAAGGATTAAAGCCCTGTAAAGCCATGGTGGCACAGGCCTTTAATGCCAGCACCTGGGGTTTGAGCAGAGAGCAGAGGCAGGTGGGCATTTAAGCCCTGCTACATGGAGAAACCCAGTCTCAAAAAAAAACAAAAAAAAAAAAAAAGAAAAGGAAGAAGGAGAAAAAGGAGGAGAGAGAAGAGGAGGACAAGGAAGACAACTTCTCTGTGGAAAGGTGTTTGGTCATTGTTTTGGTTTACTTAGACAAGGGCTCATGACACAGGTCAGGTTGGCCAGGATTCACTGTGTAGCCCAGGGTAGCCTATTTCAGCTGCCTCAGTGCTAGAGGTGTATGATCTTAGGCTGAGATATTCTGTGAGTATTTTTTTTCCAGGACAGGGTTTCTCTGTGGCTTTGGAGGCTGTCCTAGAACTAGCTTCTGTAGACCAGGCTGGCCTCGAACTCACAGAGATCCGCCTGCCTCAGCCTCCCGAGTGCTGGGATTAAAGGCGTGCGCCACCAACGCCCGGCCTCTCTGTAAGTATTTTTGATGGTGATAAAAGCTAACACTTTTTTGCTTGTTTGTTTGGAGACAGGGTTCCTCTATGTAACAGTACTGGCTGTCTTGGAACTCACTCTATAGACCGGGCTGACTTTGCACTCACAGAGATCCACTTGCCTCTGCCTCTCCAATGCTGGGTTAAAGGCGTGCGCCGCCACCACCACCACCACCACCACCACCACCGGACAGAAGCTGACTGATTACTGTGCACAGAGTGTGTGATAATCACTATTGTTGCCAGCTGTAGTATCCTATCGCTAAAGGCCATTAGATTCTATTCTAAAAACAGCAGCCTTGGAAACCGCTCTATCCTCAGACACCCTTGTGTTTCCTGCAGGTGGGAAAGCTGGGCTTCACAGAGGTGACAGTGATGATGGCCTCGGCCCCCGCAACTACCAGAGCTGGGATATGAACCCAAACCTGCCAGGCCAAGGCAATGCAGAAGCACCACATATTTTTCCTTTTTTGAGAGCCAACATCAAGGGGTTGAAGAGGTGGCCGGAAGTTAAGAGAGTGATTACTGCTCTTCCCAAGGACTGAGTCTGGTTCCCAAAACTCACATCAGGTGGTTCACAACCACCTAACTCAAGCTCCAGGGAAACCCAATGCCCCTTCTGACCCCTAAGGACATCTGCACTCACCTGCACCCACAGACACATATATACACATCTGTCTGTGTGTCTGTCTGTCTGTCTATCTATGTACCTACCTACCTACCTATCTATCTATCTATCTATCTATCTATCTATCTATGCATCTACCTATCTATCTATCTTGAGATGGGATCTCTCTGTGTAACCCTGGCTAGCATAGATACTCATATGTAGACCAGGCTAGCCTTGAACTCACAGAGATCTTTCTGCCTTTCCTCTCCAGTGCTAGGATTAAAGACATGGGACACTGCAATGGCTGTGTGCACATACTTTAAACATGAAATATTGGGGCAAATAGGGACTACATTAGGAAAATTTGGGGAAAGGGGCACTGAATATGACTGAAACATATTGTATGAAACTCTCAAATAACCAATAAAAAAAAATCGTGGCTATGCATGGTGGTGAATGCCTCTAATCCCGGAGGTAAGCAGATCTGTGTCTTCAAGGCCAGCCTGGTCTACATAGAAATACACTTAAAAATAAAAGGGACAGTCACCTCTGGATGTGGCACACATCTTTAATGCCAGCGCTTGGGAGGCAGAGGCAGTGGATCTCTAGGAGTTAGAGGCCAGCCGGGTCTACTCAGCAAGGTCTCGGCCAGGCAGGATTACATAGTGAGACCCTGTCTCAAAATACTGAAAGCAGTCACTTTGTGATAACAGCTCCAGTATGTTTAAAAATACTTATTATTTATTGTGTGGGGGTGGGCATAAGCAGGAGGGCAATGGTGGAGGAGGCCAGAAGGCAGTCTGTGGGAGTCGTCGATTTCTCCTCCCATTAGGTGGGTCCCAGGGATTGAACTCCGGTCCTCAGGCTTAGCCACGGCTACCTTTATCTATTGACTCATTCAAAGCAGCATGGTTTTTGTCTGCTTGCTTTAAAACAGAAAAATTTTTTGTTTTGATTTTTTCGGTTTTTTTCGAGACAGGGTTTCTCTGTATTGTTTTGGAGGCTGTCCTGGAACTCACTCTTGTAGACCAGGCTGGCCTCGAACTCAGAGATCCACCTGCCTCTGCCTCCTGAGTGCTGGGATTGGAAAGGCGTGCGCTACCACCGCCCAGCTTAAAATAGAAAACTTAATCTAAATTTCCTTTGTATTTCTATACTCAGTGTGAGCAGATCTGGAACTGGCTGCCCCCAACAAGTGCCTGAGTTGCTGGGAGGGAGGAGGGGGAGGGGAAGAAACCTGTTCTTCCTCGTGTTACTGGTTTGTCTTTTGTCTTGTGACTGAGTCTTGCTGTGTAGCCCTGGCTGTCCTGGAACTCCCTGTGTAGACCAAGCTGGCCTTGACTTTACAGTGCTCCCCCACCTCCACCTGCTACATCAAGAATGTGGGCCACCACACCCGGCCAAACTGATTTGTTGTAAAGATTCGGTTTCCTGCAGCCCAGGCTGGCCTTCAGAGCTCTATGTAGGGCCTTGAACTCTCTCCTGCTGCACCCCCAAGTGCTAGGATCACTGGTGTGCACTTGAGCTCTTCCTCCCTCTCTCCCTCCCCCCCACACTCCCCCACTCCCATGCTCCCCAGAACCGGGGCCTCACCAGAATGATGATGTTGCCTAAAACCAGCAACCCCACCACCACAGGAGACCCCTTCTCTCCCTCTGTTGCTGCAGAAGCCATCTTCCTGCTGGGGACAAAGAAGCAGGGGTGAGACTGGACAGAAGTTGGGAGGGGGGCCCAGCAGACCCCCCTCCCCTTCCCTCCATACTCCATCCATCCCTCGGGATGCTCACCTGCTGCAGAGCTCAGGCGCGTGGATACCCATGTGCCCAGCGCCCACCGCCTGGCGGCGAGCCTTCTACAGACTTAAGAGAGCTAGGCTCCCACAGGGCACTGGTTGCCTTTCAGCTCCCCCGCCCCCCTGACCCGTCAATTCCCAGAACCCCCTCCTCACCTCTGCAGAAGCCTCTCTGGCCAGCCCTACCCACAGCAGCTCCCTATATACGCCCAAACCCCTCCTCGATCTGTTCTCCAAGGAGGAGGGGACGGGTTCAGCAGGCCGGCCGACCGTGATGGGAACGGAGATTTTTATGAGCTCTCTGACACTGGAGTGGTTTACAGACCTGAAATTCAGGACTGTGCTCATGACTGGCCACTGGGGCAAGGGGATGTATGTACCCAGGGCCTCCAGTTCCCAGGCTGCAGAGATGCAGGAGGGGGACAAGGGCATGGTGTCGCCGTCCCCTTCCCTAGGGGCAGCATGGGTTTCCGTGGGAGCAGGGTTCAGATCCACGACAGATCCTCCTGGGAATCCTGGACCAGAAGACTGCCTTCTGCAGCTCTCTGAGGCCTGGAACCCAGAGAGAGGAGCCGAGAGGGGCACCCCACCCCACCCCCACGAGAGGAGCACGGAGCAGGGCGGTGGCGGCAGGCACTGGAGGGGAAAGGCAACCTGTTAGGGCTGCAGCAGCAGGAAATACATCGCGAAGCGGTTTGAGGCTGGTGTGCGTCTATGAAGCGGGAGGAAGGATTCCAGTGCTGGAAGGAAGGGGACATATGGAATGGGCTTGGTGGTACTAAAGCTCCTTTCCCCGGGACGCACGTGCACGCACACGCTCACGCGCACGCACTTTGGGCTGAAGAACTGAAGGGATCTGAATTCAAGCCGGACGGAATAGTGCACACCTGTAATCGTAATCCCAGTCGTGGTGGGGAGATGTAGGCAAGGAGGATTACGGGTTCAAGACCATCCTGAGCTTCATAGCCCGAGGGGTGGGGGGGAAAGGACAGAGTGGGGGACAGAGTGGAGGGGGAGGAGAAGACAAAAAAAAGGAAAGGGGAGGGGAAGGAAATGAAATAGATCGAGGCTTAAACCCTGCTATCCCCTAGAGCCCCGCGACTACGCGCACATCTGCACTGTGCATGACTGTGCCTGGGTCCCGGTTCCCAGGTGGCAGCCTGCGAGAAAGCTTGGGAGAGGTTCGAGGCTGCCCGCCCGCCCGCGGTCCTTCCGACAGCACCCCCTGGTGGTCGCTTGAAGCAAGGACCCTCCCTGCCTCAGAATTTCTCCAGGGCTTCTGTTGAGTTTTCTCTCCCAGGGGTCGCTTTCCTAGGGCAGGAGAGGTGGGCAAACAAATGGAGCTTAAAATTCCCTTGTCGAGGCTGGAGAGGTGGCTCGGTCGGTCGTTAAGAGCACTGGCTGCTCTTCCAGAGGACCTGGGTTCAATTCCCAGCACCCACATGACGGCTCAGAACTGTCTGTAATTCCCATCCCAAGGTGTCCTCACACAGATATACGTGCACATAAAGTAAAAGTAAATCAATCTTTCAAATAAAATTCCCTTGACCCGACAGCCGGTTGGCCGAGTGTGGGAGACTGGGGCAGGAGGATCTGTGGTTCGAGACCACCCTGTTAAGCGGCCAGATTGTGTTACAGAAGACACTGCCCACCGCCCCGAACAAAACACCGGGCATTGGTGCTAAGAAAGAAAATGAGATGTTTTCCAATTTAAGTACTTTAGATTTAAAATAGCTTTTCTCAGCCAGGCGGTGATGGCTCACCTCTTTAATCCCAGCACTCGGGAGGCAGAGGCAGGTGGATCTCTGTGAGTTCCTGGCTAGCTCTGGTCTACAGAGCGAGTTCCAGGACAGCCTCCAAAGTCACAGAGAAACCCTGTCTTGAAAAACCAAAAAAAAAAAAAAAAAAAGCTTTTCTCTTTTGATTTACATCTATTTTAAGGGCTTCCAAGAAAATCTAAATAAATATTCAGGGTCAGCAGATACATTTTGGTTTAAATAATTTGCTAAACAATTGGGTAATACTAATATATATATACAATTATACATATTAACAAATATACCATTTATATTTTATGTGTTTAAATATAAAATTATTTTTATATAATCATATATACATAATTTGCTTATTTATTTTCAGACAGGGTTTCTCTACACAGCTCAGGCTGTCCTGGAACTCACTATGTAGACTAGGCTGGGCTCGAAGTCACAGACATCTATCTACCTCTGCCTCTAAGTGCTGGGATCAAAGATGAGAACCATAAGGTTTAGCCCCATGCTAGTACTTTTTTCCAGCAATTTTTTTTTTTTTTTTTTTTGGTTTTTCATGACAGGGTTTCTCTGTGGCTTTGGAGGCTGTCCTGGAACTCGCTTGGTAGTCCAGGCTGGTCTTGAACTCACATAGATCCGCCTGCCTCTGCCTCCTCCCGAGTGCTGAGATTAAAGGCGTGCGCCACCAACGCCCAGCTTTTCCAGCATTCTTGTTTGCTTTAAATGTTTTTTTAAGCTTTATTTATTTTGTATGTTTTTTTGCCTGCGTGTATATATGTACATGCCCTGTGTGCCAGAGGTGTCCTTTGACGTGCACATGTGCCCACACACACATTAAAAAAAGATAGAGGGGCTGGAGAAATGACTCAGCAGCCAAGAGCCATCCTGAGTTGAGTTCCTGAGAATGTTGAGTTCCCACCACCCACCTTGGGAAGCGCCTGAACTCCAGCTTCAGAGAATATGCTGCCCTCTTCTGGCCTCCACAGGCACATACAATTTTAGAAGTAAACTAAAATCTCTCTATAAATAAAAGAAAACGGCCAGGACTGGCGATACAAGTGTGTAACTCAGCCACTCAGAAGGCATGCCTGGACTACCCCACGAGTTCAAGGTCAGCCTGGGCAATTGCAAGATCCTATCTCAAAAAGCAAAATAAAAAGACTCAGGGATGCTAGAGAGAAGGCTCGGAAGTTAAGAGCATTCACTGCCCTTGCAGTTCATTCCCAGTACCAGTTCTCATGCAGCTCACAATCACATGTAATTCCAGTTCCAGATTCAAAGCCCTCTTCTGGCCTTATAGGGCATCTGTGACATGTGCACAAATACACATTAAGTTAGAAAGAGACAGACTCTGATAGACTGAGCAAGCTTGTGACACAGTTCAGTACTTGCCTAGACTCTCCCAGTAAGGGGTTGGGGTGTGGCTCAGTGATAAGAGGCCCTGCCTAGAATCCCCCAGTGAGGGGCTGTGGGTGTGGCTCAGTGGTAGAGCACCTGCCTAGAATCCCCCAGTGAGGGGCTGTGGGTGTGGCTCAGTGGTAGAGGCCCTGCCTAGAATCCCCCAGTGAGGGGCTGTGGTGTGACTGTTGCTAGCCTGTGGGTGGCTGAGTTCAAACCCCAGGACCAACAAAACAGTTGCCATTGTCTCAGCTACTTACAAACACGACCCCTCAAGGGCTGTGAGCACTAGTTAATGGTCCTCCCCTAGGCATGTGCTTTAGAGCCCACTCAGGGGCTGTTATCCTCAGGATGTGCAGCACCTGTTCATCTCAATGCACGACAGGAGACATGATGAGAGTTCCCGCCATCACTTTCTAGCTGGCCAGGCTGACTTCCTGATACACTGGTGTGTGGCAATCCCTTCGAGAGATGGTGTGCCCGTCTGTCCTTGACTCACTTTTTTTTTTTTTTTTTTTTTTTTTTTTTGGTTTTTCGAGACAGGGTTTCTCTGTATTGTTTTGGAGGTTGTCCTGGAACTCGCTCTGTAGACCAGGCTGGTCTCGAACTCAGAGATCCGCCTGCCTCTGCCTCCCTAATGCTGGGGTTAAAGGCGTGCACCACCAATGCCCGGCGACTCACTGACTTTTTTTTCGGGTCCCCTCCCCCCAGATAAGGTTTCTCTGTGTAGTCCTGGCTGTCCTAGAACGCCCCCTGTAGACCAGGCTGGCCTCGAACTCAGAGCTCCGCCTGCCTGTGCCTGAGTGCTGGGATTAAGCACCACCACTGGCTGACTGACTGTCAGTCATCATGGTGATAAGCACTTACAGGAAGGGAACCCTGAGCAGGAGCCTGCCATTAGACACTGAGAATTCCCTGCACTGTAGAATACTACAAGTCCAGCTGGTGTGTGCACAGTAGCCATCAATTTGTGGAGCTCAGGAAGGGTTAGAAATCTGAAGCCAACCCGAGCTATAACGAAATCTACATAGAGAGGGAGAGAGGAAACTTCTCCTTCCGGATATAGCGTCATCTCCTGGATTTACCTACATCCATCTGTAGTTCCAGCTCCAACTCTCCTCTGGTCCCTCAGGCACACTCACACATGTGCACAGACATCAATACATAAAGGATAAAGGTTTGGGTGTTGAGACAGGGTTCTCCGTGTAGCACTGGCTGTCCTGGAACTCACTCGAGACAAGGCTGGTCTGAAATTCCGAGATCCGCCTGCCTCTGCCTCTTGAGTGCTGGGATTAAAGGTGTGCGCCATAACGCCCTATAAATGCATCTTAAAAAGAAACCTACACTTCATTTTAGAACAAGAAAGACAGGGACTGTGAGGTCCCTGTGCGAGGGCACCCCACCTTCCTGCCCAGCTGCCCCATGCACACAGGGAAACTTTTCCAGTGGGTTTTTATTAGTAGTTGCATCAGGATTCAGGGTCCCAGGGTAGAGACCATCATAAACCCAGGTCCCCCTTTACTATATGGGAAGGACGAGAACAGGAGAGGTGGGCGGAGCCAGGTCAGATCTTCCCGGGAAACGTGCCTTCTGCTCTTCGGTCATCCCAGGCTGAGACCTGTAAGAGATAACGGCATGACTCCTCCTGTGACAAAACCACAGCTTTCCTGCCTTTATCCACGGATGGGTGTGGCCAACAGAGGACCACAGGTGCC